TATTCTATTCTATTCTATTCTATTCTATTCTATTCTATTCTATTCTACTCTATTCTATTCTCAAGTGGATAATCTATAACGGTTATGGGAAACTTCAACTCAGCCAGTAATGTCATGTTGAACTAGAGCTTAAGTGACAAGAGATTAATTTCAGACCTGTATTTAAAGAAATACTTCATGGCTGAGTGGAATAGCTGTCATTGGATGAAGAATTCCAAGGATTTCTCAGTAAAGTGAACAAGAATAACCCATTTTTCTTATCTATTTATTTTATTAGATTTGGTGTGCCACCCATCTCATCTTCTCCTGTTTTGGTGAAATTCACTGGCTTCACAACTGGTTGTTGTTCTCATGATATAAGGAGAGCAGAAGTAACGTGGTATCTTTATATGATACCAATGTAAACATCGGTGTCATGATTAAAGCTCCAGGCTAGAAACTTGGAGACTGTAAGTTCTAGTTCTTAGGCACAAAGCCAGCTGTGGTGACCTTGGGCCAGCTCCTCTCTCCTAGCCCTAGGAAACAGATAACAGCAAACCAGTTCCAAAATCCTGCCAACAAAATTGCGAAGACTAGTCCAGGCTGTTGCCAGGAGTCAACTCTGACTCAAAGGCACACACACATAAAAGTAAAACATAATTATTTTTTAAAAAATGGTTTTCCACCCAAAAGGAAAGGCATTTACCATATGTTTAGGTGGTAAGCCGCTTAAAGGTTTCCAAACTAGAATGCAAAACTTCCAGATAATATTTTACTTTAGAAAGCGACCAGGGTTAAGGAACTGACATTAATCAAGAGAGACTATCATGGTATTAGATAACCATTTTGCCCTGGTGGTTAAAGCACTGGGCTAGAAACCAAGAGATGAGTTCTAATCCCTGACTGGGCGACTTTGAGCCAGTCCCTCTCTCTTAGCCCATGGAGTCAAGCAACAAGCTGCTTTGTCAATTCCTGCTGCAATCAAACAGATCAACATTTGGTTGATCCAAAAAAAAGTGGAGCCTGCATTGGCCGGAAAACACTACGTAGAAATACACAGGCACAAGCCATCATGTTGAGATGCTCAAAGTTCATTATATTTCTTCTGCCTATCTATATCTCTTCTGCAGAAAGTTGCATGATAGAATATCCAGCAGTGTGTCTGGTGATGTCACATTCTAAAGCATTTCCTGTACAGAAATAAACAGCTAAATTCAGAGTGTCCAATTTCATCAGGAACAACCCAGCCCCGCTTTTCACTGCTATGGTAGAAATCAACAAATGTAAATCAGCAACCTTGTAACTATTTAATGAGAAAGGTTTTACTGATTTCTGTGGGATATACCCCCTATGGATAAATATAGCCTTGCAGTCTCAAAATGTTCTAATCAGAGAGAGACAGATTTATTTATTTATTTATTTATTTTATTTATTTGTCAATTGTTTACGAGATAAGTAAAAGTGTATACATAATTATGAATACATGAAATGAGTACATATAAGAAAAATAAAAGAAAAATAAAAGAAACAATAGGACAGGGACGGTAGGCACGTTGGTGCGCTTAAACTTCACCCTCCTCCCCATACTACAGTTATGAACTTTTCTCTTCCATCTGCTCTTACCTAGCATTTAAATTCCAAACAAACCAATCATTTTTCCCTAATGGCTTTTTTTTGTTCTCCACTGAACATGTTCACTGAATTAATTCTGATCGTGAAAAAGGGAGTGTACAGGATGTACATATGTTTTAAATGCTGTGGAATTCCTCACATTGTTTATAGCAGCTTTCCTTTGTTTCGAAAGTCGGCCAACTGGAACGTACTATTTGTCCCCTTTTGTCCTCAAACGGGGACTAATCCATCCTGATTTCAAATATTTTTTGGGGGGGGGGGACCTTTCTAATAACACTTCTGTATCCACGTGGAAGCGATCCAAGAGAAAACCTAAGAATGACATCTTATACCGAATCCCTGGTGTGCCCATTGAGAGCTCAAACGAGAAGTGGTTGTTTCAGGTTACCGTGCACAAATAAGCACAATGTCATATCCCCATCTGCCTGCCCTGCAGGCGCATTAAAACTTTAGACTTATTAATTAATAAGTATTAATTCATCAAGCTATGACCCCCCCCCCCCCATCACAATGGCCCTTTCTCTTTCAAACAAACAAGCAACGGAATGATAGGTCGTGTGAGGCTTTCACATTAACAGACGAAATAAAACCTCCAGATCCAGCGTCAAAGGGCTATTCAGGCCGAGCTTCGACGGGGATGGGGGGGGAGGGGCGGCGTGACTCACACTGCCGCCCCACCCTTTGCTTTTCCGCCTCGGCGATCGGGAGCGCGCACCGGCCGCTCAGGGAAGCAGCGAGCGAACGAGGGAGCGGGCGCGCGGGGGCGCGCGTTGGCCGGGCCCCCGCGCGGCCTCTCAGCTTCTTTCGGCGATGGCGACGGCGACGGCGCCCTCGCCGCGGGACCCGGCTGGGGACTGGCAGGACTTCTCGGGCTTCCAGGCTTCGTCGGAACCGAGCGGTTGCCTGGAGCCCTCGGAGACGGCGGCGGGGGCGGCTGCCGTGGAAGGAGGCCCGTGGCATGGCAGGGGCGATCTGAGCACCGAGCTCCCGCTCTGCTTCCAACCTGCTCGGCTGCTGGCTGAGCATTGCGTAGACCCGGAAGCCCTTCTCCTGCCGCAGCCCCTCAGCGAGCGGAGCGCCTTGCACGAAGATGAGTGAGTGAATGAAGCGGTGGGTCGGATTCCTTGCTTGGAGGAGGAGGAGGAGGAGGGAGCCTCCCCCTCCTCCTCTTCGCCCTCCTGTCGCTTGGCGAGAGGTCCCTTTGCAAAGAGTGAGGTTCTCCCTTCGGTCGTGGAAAACTTCGCCGGAGATTGGGGCGTTCTCAGGGCTCGGCCGTTCTCCTTGAGAAAAAGTATGGGGCGCGGAGCGGGGGGAATAAGTAGGGAAAAGAGACTTGCAGCTTCGGGACACGGGACAGAGTAATAGGGTCTTTGTTCCCCAGCCCTCTGGGGTTACGAGGACTTTATGCCCGGTAAGCCCTGAAGGAGGAAAGATAGTTTCAAGATAGTTTTACCTTCACTCCGAATGGACTTTAAACTTTCCAGCACAACCAGACTGAACTCTATACGTTAGCAGCATTCCACCGACTAGGCACTAGAACTTGGTGGAAGGCAACCTATCCTAACATGGAATCCTTTTGTATCTTATACTTGAGGGTAGGCCCTTTCTCAGAGGCCCCCAAAGGCCCGTTTTTTTGTGCAGACCCTCATGTTTTATTTTAAAAACTTGAACTATTTTGCAGTGTAAAAAAAGCAAAAGAAACTTGGCAGAGACATAACTGGAAGTGCACATCCGAAGTGCACATTTGATAAATTGTCTCAAATATTTGTTTTTCACTAGTTTTTTTTTTTAAACAGACACACCTGCTGACTCTGTAACTTTTTATTGATGTTTAGGAATTGGAAACATTTTAGACTACAACCTCTGCTCCAATATAATCATTGGCATGGGTGTATTTTGTAGTTTACATCAAAAGCACCTATATACCCAAGATATAGATCTGATTGAGAGATGGTGGTAACAATTTATTATCCATTTAATAACAAATAAATGAATGAATTCTTTATTGGCCAAGTGTGAATAGACACACAAGGAATTTGTCTTGGTGCACGTGCTCTCAGTGTACATAAAAAGAAAAGATACTAAATTATACTAATGTGAATAATATTTATATTATCCAAAGGATATGTTGATGTTTGCACATCAGAGCATAAAGTAATGAATGTGTAAACACTCAAGTCAGTTTTGCATCACTCCTCATGCTACGTGGACCAGCTAAAAAACTGCAGAAGTTCCTTCCAAGGTTCACCTGATCTTAGAACTTAGGTTGGCTATGGCTTCTTTGTCCCATATCAGGAATTGAAAGACAAGAACAAACCATGGCTTGATAATGGAAATATTTGAAACCTCTTTTAAATACAGCAAGCCAAAATAAGGGAAAACTATACTGTTTTTTTCTTCATGAAACCCTGAAATAATTACAATAAATGGGAAGAACTTGAATGCAGATAAAGGTCAACAGTAGCTAAAGTATTGGCAGCTGTGATTTCTTCTTGGGTATTATAATCTGTGTTCTGCTTTTATAAGCACTTAAGAGAGGAAATGTTTTTCTATTACATTTATTGTTGAACAGATACTTCTATAATGTAGCAATTTCATTCTTTGGCAAGTTGGTATAAGACATGGGTGTCAAACTCGCCATGTCACGTTGCCATCACATGACGTCGTGGAGCTGGGTTGGGCATGGCCTGGACATCCGGCCCGCGGGCTGCTAGTTTGGCACCCCTGATAAGGCAATCCATGAGGGTCTTTAGCCAAATAATAGCATTGCATGCTTTCTCTACTTCTTAATGCAAAATTGACTGACTCAGATCTAAGCAGAGAACTCTAAAAGCAAAGGTCAGATCCAATGACAGATATTTTTGTGGTGGGTGATTACCCATTCATGGCTGAGACTATAAATATTGACATATTTTACTTTGGAATTAATATGGTACAGACACTTTTAAAAGCAGAAGCTTTACTCACTTTAGAATCTTAGTTTCTGCATATTGTAAGGACTGGATTTTTTTTTCTTCTTCCAGGATTTGGAATGCTCTGACAGATAATTATGGTAATGTAATGCCAGTCGATTGGAAATCATCCCACACCAGAACACTGCACTTGCCAACCCTGAATCTCTCTGAAAAGGCAGTAAGTATTGCCAGAACTATTTGAAAAATGTTCCTTTTGTCCATTTAAATTTGTGTCCTAGACATCAAATATTACATAAGCCATCAATTAATACCATTATTAGCTTTCTGTTTCTGTTGGCATCATGTGTTTTTTTCTTCAAAATGTGTCTAACATGTGCCCCAATGTCCAATAAGATATGTTAATTTTTAAAAATGCAAGAATTATCATTTTAATGCTAATTCCTACATTTGCATTCCTGCAAATGTCATTAATACACTATCAATTCTAATAATGTATAATACTTTTGTTTAAGCCAGAAATCAAGCAATCAGTAATAGTAACTGATATAAGAACAAAAGCAGCCCTCTTTCATTAAAAATATATGCAATAATATATATATTATTACCCAATCAGAACACAGCCAAGCCCCCACCCAATCAAGTCCCACCCCCACTGGCAGTTAAAAGGAGGAAGCAGCTGCAATCTCCATTACTCTGAGAAGCACAGAGCCGGAGACAGAAGCCTGAAGATGA